AACAAAGGAAGAAGCCACACGGTGTGAGAAACAGTGCCCAGACGGAAAAATTGTGCATGTATTTGGTACAAAGAAACAGAAGAATATAATGTACATTCTGTTTGGAAAAGTCGAGAGGAATCCATCCACCATTTTTCCTCTGCGAATAAATACACAGGTAGATTTTTAAGGTGGAAGGGAGCCAAAGAACCGGGGTGTAGAATAGCCAAAATTCAACAAAATGCACACCTATGTACACACTTTCTGTAAACAATAAAATAGAAAGGTTAGAAAACATCAGTCTGACACCAAAGCAGAAGAAGATTTCGCTCTTCCGTTGGGTCAGTGATGGAGAATTTCAGCCCGATGTACAAAGTTCAGACAAGCCCACATTTTAGAATGACATATTCTGAACATCAAGCGTCCATTTTCTTCTCGACTACAATGTCTCTTGTCTCCATCGCCTCAACTTCTGACTTCTTGTCCTTGGAAAATGAACCTCTATGGATAGTCCCCGACTTACAACAGATTATTTAGTGACCATTCAAAGTTACAACGGTGTTTTTTTTTCAGTCTTGGCAACTTCTAAGATGGCTGTGTCAACTAAAACATACTCCTTTGGTCTTTTTAGTTGCCAGCAGAAAGGGAGTGGGAGAAAGCAGTGCATTCCTTAAATGCTTCAGATAATTGCTAGGCAGCCGAAACTGTTGGCCCACAAGATTATTACTGGAGAGCCTGATTGATGACTCTTGGCCATGGATGTGTCTCATTGACGAATATATATCCAGGGGGTGGGGGGAAGACCAGGGTCAAGGGTGAAATGAATGATGTGTCTTAGAGTCGGCTGCACTCAGAAAACACCGACATGTCAACTCCTAATCTTTTTTTTTTTTTTTTAACTCTGAGAGATGTGGCTAGAGACTTGTGATTTGAATGGCGGTGCATGTTGGAGCCTTGACAGGCCGGACATCAACACCCAGACTTATCCAGTCCGACCATTTTTAAAGTTACCAAAATTGAAAACAAAAACTGATTTAGAAGATTGCAGGAGGGGATTTTCTGAAAGCGCCGTGTAAAATTCGACAAAGTTGCAAATAATTCTTGGGGACATTTAGTGATCGTTCAAAGATATGAACGGCCCTGGGAAAAAAAAGGGAGTTTTTTTTAATCCTTTTTCAGACATGACCTTGCAGCCTCCCCACAGTCCTGCGAGCAAAATTCAGATGCTTGGCAACCCTATTTATGACAGTTGCAATGTTCTGGGGTCACATGTGACCTTCCGACAAGCAAAGTTAATTGTTGTGGTTAGCTGGCAGCAGGTGTGGACGGCTGAGGAGAGCGAGGACTCAGATGAGGGGCCAGGACCATCAGGGAGTGGAGTGCTGCCTTCGGAGATTGTGGGGGCTGGCAGCAGTGATGAGGAGGTTCCCGAGGAGCCTGTGCCAAGTGCGCGTGCGTGCAGGGCTGCTCGTACGAAAGAGCAGCTGCAGCAGCACAGGCGACTCAGGAGTAAGGCTGCAAGGTGATGGCCCCTCCTCCAAGAAGATAAAAGCCAGCTGTGAATCGGACGTTCTTTGCAGGAAGCAAAGACGTTTTGAAACTCAGCCTTGTGGACATTACAGAATCTTAAGTTGGTATCTGAAGACTATTATGTTGTAAAATATTTCTAGGTAACCTTATCTGTGATTCTTGGCAGCCTTGCACAGTTTTGGCGAAGTTTGTGCTTATCAATGTTAATTAGTTTGCAGAAGCCTTTTAACTGGGGATTCGCAAGACTCATTAAAAGGTTTCTGTTCCCTTTGGTTCATGTTTGTTTTCTTGGAAAAGGGTTTGGGTCAGAACATTAATGGGGGAAGCCAGATTCACTTAACAACCATGTCATTCACTTAACAACTGCAGGGATTCACTTAGCAATTGTGGTCAGAATGGTCATGAAATGAATTAAAATTCACTTTAAAAATGTTTCACTTAGCAACAGATAGTTTGGGCTCAATTATGATTGTAAATTGAGGACCACCTGTATTATTGTCCCTTTTTTCAAGGCTGGCCTTCCTGTTAGGCGGTGAGCAGGTAGCCAAGTTGGGCCACTGATTTTGGCTCATGCGCTGGGCCTGAAAGTTATACAATATATTATGAGTTGTTGAATTCTGACTCCTGCATTTTGTCTGGAATGGTACAATGCTTGAGCAAGGGGTTGGACTAGAAGACCTCCAAGGTCCCTTCCAATTCTGTTATTCTGTACTTATTTTTATTCTGTGGGATAGTTAGGAATCCTCGTGCCAAATCACTTGGCAAAATACAATGTCCACGGACTTGGGTGAGTTCCTGTTCTACTGCAAGTGGAATATTTTGGAGACAATTATTTTGGGCTAACTCGGAGCTGACAGTCCAGGACATTGTAGTACTTTAAATAAAGTAGAAATAACTACTTCGGTAAGTTATTAACTTGGCTTCCTCCATCCATGATTCTGCTGCAGATTCTGGCTTACTTTTTGGTCTTTTTTTCCCCAATTAACTTAATGCATCGGATGAAGTCAGTTGTGACCTATGAAGTCACAACAAAGAAGAACTATTTTGTGGTTGATTTTCCTTTCCCTAACGCTGTGATTTTTCAACCTTGAAGATGGGTGGATTTCAACTCCCAGAATTCTCCAGTCAGTACACTGACTGTGGAATTCTGGGACTTGAAGTCCAGACATCTTAGCATGACCAAACATTGTCCTAATGGGAAGGAAAGATGTGTGAGGACTTCAGCTCCCAGAATTCTCCAGCCAGCATTTTGACTGGGGAATTCTGGGAGTTGAAGTTCAGACATCCTAGCATGGCCAAACATTGTCCTAATGGGAAGGAAAGATGTGTGAGGACTTCAGCTCCCAGAATTCCCCAGCCAGCATTTTGACTGGGGAATTCTGGGAGTTGAAGTTCAGACATCAACATCCGGAGCAGAAGCACTTGACCGATTGGGTGTATGGATCACATCAAACCCTTTAACCAACTTGTCAGTTCTGCTTCCATGGTTAGCCCTTCCCCCACGCCCACGACTGCCTCTTCCACCTCTACCACCACGCCCAGGATGACCAAGATCTCCCAAATTCATCTTAAGCCATGCCAAATATTGTCCTAATGGGAAGGTAATAAGTATCTCCTTCTCAAGAGACATCCAAGTTGCTTTGCAAGTAGAGAAATCTTGGAATAATTCGATCATTTGTTAAATTTTCTTTCGTCCAAGGCGATGTATGGACTATTCTTTCTCCTCACAATATCCTCTAGTTGACAACATGAGATGGTTTTGATTCAACAAATTCCTCCTATTGCGCTTGGACACATTTTCAGAACCAAAACTATCTTTTCCATCAAAAGAAAGTAAAAACACGGAGGGAAAATGATTTTTTTTTTTTGCAAAGAATCAAAATGTTTGGCATAATATAACGCTGATTATACAACTAAAAACCCGCACAACGTTGTCGAAGAAATATTCCAAGACCAAGACAACTCAAACCTAGAGTACAGTATTGGAGGCTCACTTACAACTGCTTGCAACTGTCCTCGACTCATAAGCATCCATCTAGTGACTGTTCAAAGTTACGACAGCCCTGGAAAAATGACTTACGGCCATTTTTCAAACTTATGACCATCGCAGTAAACCCGTGGTCACCTGATCAGGATTCGGATGCTTGGTAACTGTTCAGGGAGTCATGCCAGGTTTTACAGCCTTAACTTAAATTGCAATGATTCACTTAGTAACGGTGGCAAGAAAAATGGGGCAGAATTCATTTAACAGCAGTCTCCTTTAGCAACCGAAATCTGGGGCTCAATTGTGATCGTACGTTGAGGACTAGCTGTACATATCTTTCTCAACATCATGGCCACCTGACCTCCTTTTGCTAACTGCAACTCCGTTTCCCCCCAGGGTTATGATATAACTGCTCTTACTCATCGGAGACCCGGGAACGTATACGAATAAGCGAGAATATTTGTAGTTGAGGGTTGAATGGTGAGGGTTTTGGGTGGCTCTCTGAGCTTCGTGCTTTTCTCGAAGATGTTTCATGACCCAACTAGGTGACACCATCAGTGCTAGAAAAGAGTGGGGTTGCATGTATAAAAATAGAGAGAAAACCCAACCCCCCTTGTAGCACTGATGATGTTACCTCAAGGGGTGGGATTCAGCCGGTTCGGACCGGTTTGGGCGAACCGGTTGTTAAATTTGCATCTGGTTCACTGAACTGGTAGTTGAACTGACCGGCTGGCCCCGCCCTTCTTGCCCCGCCCCTCCACGTGGCCCGTTTTGGATGCAGGTAAGTGCACGGTCTGTGCGAAGGCTCTGGGAGGGGGAAAACGGGCCTTCTGGAAGTCTGGAAACGGGCCTGTTTCCGGTGTCAACTCATAAAATATTCCTCTGGTCTTTTAGAGTTGCCAGCAGAAAGGGAGGGGGGACCAGTGCGGCAGCTTGCAAAACCGAAACTGCATTCCATAAATGTTTTCACAGATAGTTTCTAGGTGACCGAAGTTTCTGCCGCGCAAATATCTAACTGAAGAGCCTGATTGATGACTTTTGGCTATGGATGTGTCCCATTGGAGAATATGAATTATAATACACACAGGGGGTGGGGGAAAATTCAGGGTCAAGGGGGACAATGAATGATATGGTCTCAGAGTTGGCTACACCCAGGTAGCACCGGCATGTTTTCTCCGAATAAATCTTCTTTAAGCTTTGAATATCCGGCTAGAGACTCATGATTTAAATGGGGGTAACTACTGGAGCACTGACATCCGGCTTCCGGAGGGCCTCCAGGGCCCAGGGGAGGCTGTTTTCGCCCTCCCAGAGGCCCGAGGGAAGCCTCCGGACTCTGGGGAAGGTGAAAAATGGTCGTCCCAGGAGGCCATGTCCACCCAGCAACTGGGCAGCGAACTGGTTGCTGGGATTTTTGAATCCCACCCTTATGTTAGCTAGTAGGGTCATGAAACATCTGCGAAGAAACCACCCAGTTTGGAGAGTTCTAAGGACCCGAGGAAGGTGCGCATTGTGGGTCAAAGGGAAAATGGGGCCTTCTTCTGTATGCAAAGCATGGATTTCTACCAACGGGCTGTGACTACCTTGGTTAGTCTACCTGTCTCACTCACGGAGTGCACCCGCCTTTGTCCACTTATAAGATGGAGACAAACCCAATGGGATCGAGAAAAAAAACACCACCCCATTGTGTCAAATATCCGTTTCTTTAAGCCCACACGATTCGGAGTCTGTCAGATCGTCGTACATTTGATAGTCGATGCATTCCAAGAAGTCATTGGGGATGCCAATGGAAACCGACTCCACCTCGGTTTTGAAGGAAGCCGCCATGCCGCCCCGGAGGGAGCTCCCACGAATCTTGTGGGAGAGGCTGTTCATCTTCTCCTTCAGCTGGATGGTGGGTTTGTGGGAAGGAGAAAATATCCTCCACCTCTTGCAGTTCAGAGTCCTCCTCTTGCTCGACCGTTCCAAGCTGCGGGAGTTCAGTATGAAGGACCCGTTGAGGGTGGAGATCCGGGAGCGGCTGGAGCCGTTGATGGAGGCCCCTCGCCAAGGGTGGTCATAAACCCTCCAGATGGGCCTCCTCCGCCGACACTGGCACTTGAGCAGACGGGTGAAAGCTCGCTTGAACTCCTTGCTGGAGCAGGGGTAGATAATGGGATTCACACAGCTGTTGAAGTAGCCCAGCCAGAAGATAATCTTGAAGGCTACTCCTGAGGGCTTCAGGGAAGGGAAGAAGGAACCTGAAAAAAACAAGATGGAAGAAGGCTTGAGAGGGTGAAAGGGCCTTGCTAGAGTAAAGCAAGAGCTCCATCCCTTTCGTGAAGAGGGGCTGGTAATTGGGTGCTCAACCTTCTGTGGAAAGTTTTGTATCAAAATACCATTTTATCCCTTATGGTCTCCCCACCTCCCCTCAAACATGAACAGAAGCCACCCTGGACTGAGAATGGGCATCTCTGCTAGATAACTGACAGTCGATCTGAAACTAAATCGAGCAAAAAAACAGCAAACGGGAGAAATGTTTTACTTAAACGACCTTAAACCCCCAAATAAGTTACCCAGATGCATTCCACATATCAAAGGAGCAGGTCTCTAAACACAAATTAGAGGTCATTAAAGCAGGCAATGACACGTTCACAAGAATAAGCAGTGGACACAGCAAACGAGATAACTATGCTGGGTTTCGTATCACAAATCACTAGTTGGACACTTCCCAAGCATTTAGGATGCTTGTTGTTGTTATTATTATTATTATTATTATTATTATTATTATTATTATTATTATTGATCCAGGCAATACACTGTTTATTAAGCACTTACGTATACCAAAGAAAAATGTATATATATATTTTTTAAAAAAGAAGAGACTGGGCTCCCATCTGTCAGAAATGGCTTAGGGTTTCTTGCTTTAGCAGGGGGTTGGACTAGATGACCTACAGGCTCCCTTCCAACTCTGATTATCTGTTACTTATGTCATTCCAGATTTCTGTCCATAATGTAATCTCTCCCAGCAGGGGGCTCCCTTGCCCTCTTCCAAACCGACTGTCGCCCTGAGGAGTTCTAAAAATAAGTTTCTGACTCAGTCCAAATGCTTTTTCGTCTTCGATGAATCACGATTCTGCGTGACTCTGTTGTTAAGTCATATTGTGGGTTACAAAGCCGGCGCTAGCAAGGAATCGAGGCTAAATCCGAGTGTCAAAGAGGCTCGAAAGGGATCAGTTGGACATTTAGAGGCCCTAAAAAAAAAGCTTCAAAAATCTCCAAAGTGAGAAGGGGGGAAAAAAACACACGGGCTCCTCCTCATAATAATTTTATTTTTCATTATTTCATATCAAGTTCCTAGAATGCAGCCAAGATGGAGAAACCTTGATTTAGGGAAGAAAGTTGCTTTTGTAGGGCGTCCTCAATAGGTCGTCCTCGACGTACAATGTTTGTTTAGTGGCCTTTTGAAATTACAATGGCACTAAAAAAAAAGCAACTTACGGCCCTTTCTCACACTTGTGACTGTTTTAGCATCCTCATAGTCATGTGGTCCAAGTTCAAACAATTGGCAATGGGCTTGTATTTATGACGGTCAAAGTGTGGTGGGGTTAGGAGTGGTGCTCTCGCCTCATAATCAGGAGGCTGTGAGTTCGATCTTAGGTAGAGGCAGGTATTTCTTTCGCTGGACACACTCTGAGAATCTATCCGCCGAACAAAACTCTGCCCTCGTGACAGGAAGGGCATCCGGCCATTAAAACACTCTGCTTGCTCCATTCAGTTGTCCAGAATCCACCCCGCAAGGGATTATGGGGTCATTAAAAGGAGATGACGAAAGGATTGTAGGGTCATGTGATCCCCTTTTGCGACCTTCTGACAAGCAAAGTCAATGGGGAAGCCAGATTCACTTAACGACCGTGTTATGGACTTATCAATAGCAGCGATTCGCTTCACCCCGGTGGCAAGAAAGGCCATAAAATGGGGCAAAACTCGCTTAACAAACGTCCCACTCAGCAACGGGTGTTTGTTATCGTTCACTTAAATTTGGGGCTACAATTCCCTGAAAACATTTTCGTTGCTCGGAGGGTCCCGAATGTGACTGCGGGAACTTGGAATCTGGATCGTTAAGTCCCATGTTTTTGGCCATTTGTAACGTTGAATGGTTGCTAAGAGACTGGTCATAAGTCAAGTCAAGTGGTCACAGCTGAGAAACTGGTAGTGTAAAGATGACTCAACCCTCCAAAGAGAGAGAGAGAGAGAGAGAAAGTGCTCTTGTGATCCAGCACAAATTAACAAACCAGATCAACCTACTTGCTGTCCTGAAAAACAGATGAGATTACAGAATATAGAATAGCAGAGTTGGAAGGGACCTTGGAGGTCTTCTAGTCTGACCCCCTGCTCAAGCAGGAGACCCTCTACCGTTTCAGACAAACGTCTGTCAGTCTCTTCTTAAAAACAGACGGCTGTCCACTGTTGGAGCACACACAACTTCTGGTGGCAAGTCGTTCCACTGGTGAATTGTTTTAATTACTCAGGAACTTTCTCCTCAGTCCTGAGTTGCTTCTCTCCTTGATGAGTTTCCATCCGTTGCTTCTTGTCCTGCCCTCAGGGGCTCTGGCGCTTCCCTCTTCTTTGGGGCAGCCCCTCAAACATCAGAAGAGTGCTAGTTCTTCTCTTCTGAACTTTTACAGAACAGCAGAGTTGGAAGGGACCTTGGAGGTCTTCTAGTCCAACCCCCTGCTGAAGCAAGAAACCCTCTACCATTTCAGACAAAGGGCTGTCCAGTTTCTTCTAAAAAAAACCCTCCGTAGTTGGAGCAAGCACAGTTTCTGGAGGGAAGCCACTCCACTGATTATTTGTTCTCACTGACAGGAAATTTCTCCTTAATTCTATTAATTTTTCATTCTTAAGCTCAACTCTTCAGGCTGGCGGCCCACAATGGGAACTCTAATGCAACCTCATCCCGTTCTGAGAAAATATATATATATATTTTCTCCCATTCTGACTCAGGCACCGCAAAGGCCAAAAATCCAGCCGGATTTTTTTTTTAATATCTCCTCAGCCGCCTGTCTCTTCTCTTGTAGCTTGCAAGGATTTTTTTTTTATTTCTCTAATAACATTTATTTCTCGAATTCTCCAACGTTAACTGTGATGGCGTATCCCACATTTTAAACATAATTTTTTTTAATAAACCCAAACCATACCTATTGCAGTTAAAAAGCAGGAACCCCAATTCGTCCATTTGTTTAACGACGGTCGATACTACAAGGGCACTAAAAAAAGTGATTTTTTCAGTCCTCACATTTATGACTGAAGTTCTCACACTTATGTCCATTTCCTCATCCTCATTTTTTCAGTTCTCGCTTTTTCAGTCCTCACACTTATGACCAAAGTCCTCACGCTTATGTCCATTTCCCCATCCCCATTTCTGACCTTCCCAGCCGGCTTCCAAAAAGCAAAGTCAACAGGGAAAAAAAGCCAAATTCACTTAGTGACCCCGACATTCCCCTCACAACTGTGGTGCTAGGCTTAACAACTGTGGCAAAATAAGGTCATAAAAATGGATGTGTGACTCACTTAACACAAACTAAGTACAGGTAGTCCTTGACTTAACAGCAGTTCGCTTAGTGACCGAAGTTACAACAGCACTGAAAAAAAATGACTTATGACCATGTTTCACACTTATGACCATTGCAGCATCCTCTGTGGTCACATGATTTACATTTGGAGGCTTGACTGTCGATTCACATTTATGATGGTCTGTTCTCACATTTGCTGCTTAAAAGTGGTTTAAAAACCACTGCCCAATAAGAGTTGACATTTTAAAAAGATGAAGAGATGACAGATAGAGATAGAACACTTTTTAATACGATGGATATTTTACTAAGAGTTAGGAAAAAATGGGGTAGAAAGTAGAAATTGGGAAAATAAGATTATGTGTACTGATATATAATGGAATGTATTATAATTACAATGTACATGCAAATGTTAGAAGTGGAAAGATTATGATTATGTTTATTTAAATAGTATCATTATTAGTAGTATTGCGTATAAAGTATATCGTCCCAGACAACACGCTGTTCACTAAGGACTTATGGATGTCAAAGAAATAAACCATGAATAAAATCTATCTATCTATATAAAAGCGAAGATACCCCTCACGCATCATCACAAAATCTCCAGAACCGTAAAGCCTACAAACTTGAAATTTGGCACCTATGTTCCTCTTGGCTTCTAGATGCTCACTAAGAAAGGATTTTTCAAAACGACCCTCAGAGCATTTAGAGCATTTCCTGTATTATTATTATTGTTAACATGCTCTGATGTTAAGGAGTTCTACTCCCCCTCCTCACCTGAAGAGAAATCTCTTCCAAAGGCAAAACGCAAGCAGAGGAGTTTCAGTTTCATAGCAGCACCAAGCAGGTTTAGTACAGAACAGTTGAGCTAAGCCACGCCCAGGCTCCTTGCTGTCTCCTTGCTCACACAGCAAATACTGTTTCAGTTTCCAAACAGCCCTCAACTCTGTCAGCGCCTGTAGGCCAGACAAGGAATGATGGATGGAACTGAACAAGGAGAGATTTAACCTGGAAATAAGGAGAAACTTTCTGACAGGGAGAACAATCCACCGATGGAACAGCTTTTGCCTTTGGAAGTGGTGGGAGCTTCATCACTGGAGGCTTTCAAGAAGAGATTGGACTGCCATCTGTCAGAAATCGTGTAGGGTCTCCCGCTTGAGTGGGAGGTTGGACTAGATGACCTACAAGGTCCCTTCCAACTCTGATTATCTGTTAAATCTGTTAAATCTATCACACACAGACAGGATGCTAGCCAGATGAATACTGATGGAGGCCGGTAGGCAGAGGCAGAATTTCTTCCCCTTATTTTCCTCTCCAAAAACTAAGCCCCACCACATAGTTTCGTAGCAAAGCATGAGTATCCAGCTAGTTATATATATATAAAAATGTGGCTTAAGGAAAAAGAACGGAAGTCCACCAGAAACAAGGGAAGAAAATAAAAATAAATGAAAGCTTCTCTTGTGGCCATGTTCCCTCCCTGGCCCCCTTTTCTCCTCCACAGGGGAAAAAAACACAACACCATCACATCAGGTCCAGCCAAATTATCCTTCTGCTCCACTGCTTCACAGTGCTTCTGTTGTGTGTCCTGCTAAGTGATCTGTTACACAACAAAATGAAGATTTATTCCTTCTGCAACTCCCGGTTTGGCCCAAGCAAGGTTTCCTCTGTGTGTGAGGTGAAAAAAGAAA